GGTTCACATGGGGGGGGGGTGATGTGCGGGGGCAGTACTGGGTGGTCTCTATTACAATGGGACGGATATATGGAGGTGTCCCCGTATTGGGGGATCTGCACGTTGGCAGAGATGGGCAGATTTCTGGAAGTGAGACCTCTGGTGCTCGGACCCTCCTGGGGTTAGTCATGTGACCGGCCCAACAGACTGAAGTGGTGGATGAGCGATGAGCCCCGTTCTTCTCGCCCCTCGTGGGCGGGTCACTCTACAGAATGCTGGAAATCTTCCATGTGTGATGACGAGAGCTTCTGATGTTTGAAGAGTCCTTTTACCTTTTCTAACCTTCCCCGGGCGATTGTTCCTCGGGCCGCGCTCCACCATTGGTTGGGTTGGGATGAGGCAATTTATGGGCAACCAAAAGATGGAAGTCCGTCCCGCGGTTCCTCTAGGGCAGGGCTGGTGTTGCCATAGTTTAGGCACGGGTGCTCGTGTAGTATGTTTGCTGGAACACCGCCTGGGCTCCGACGGGTTAATCAGACGTGACTCCTCCTGCGAGCAGGCCATGCAGGCAGATGCCGGAGCTGGGAATGTTCTGAGGGGCCCGTTGGGAGGTTTCCAAGCCGGATTTCAGTCTAAAGTCCTAATTTATTAATTTATCCTAATTTATTTCATCGATGTGTTCTGTGTTTCTAGAGGGGGTCTGATGGACTTTTATCTCTTGTAGTTCTTCTCCATTGTCCTGATCATCTTCATCGCGGAGATCGCCGGCGCTGTGGTCGCTCTGGTCTATTCCTCTCTGGTAAGAACCTTCTAGTCTCGCTCTCTCGCTCTCTCGCTCTCTCGCTCTCTCGCTCTCTCGCTCTCTCGCTCTCTCGCTCTCTCGCTCTCTCGCTCTCTCGCTCTCTCGCTCTCTCGCTCTCTCGCTCTCTCGCTCTCTCGCTCTCTCGCTCTCTCGCTCTCTCGCTCTCTCGCTCTCATCTCTTAGCAGATACTTCCTCATGAGGAGGGTGTTGGGTGACACATGCCGCAGGAAACGGCAGCACAGAAATCTATATTCGGTGAACTTGTCAGACCGGTTTTCATCTTTTTTAAAGGAAAAAAAAAATGTAAAAATTGTGATTTCCGAGACGCAGAAAGAACGGTCACAATTTGGTGATTGGCTGACCCTCCCCTGATTGGCTGACCCTCCCCTGATTGGCTGACCCTCCCCTGATTGGCTGACCCTCCCCTGATTGGCTGCACCCCCCCTGCTTCGCTGTACCCCCCCTGT